AAAGTCCCTCTGCGACAGACACACACCTGAGAGCACAAACCGATGATGGGAGAGTTGCAAAATGAACTACCATTAGTTACATTAGGCAAAGGACTGGAAATCAACTTCAAATAAACATGGAATGAGTTGTATGATTTGAGAGTAACCAAAATCTTTGGTACCCTGGTCACTGTGTCCTGCTTGTACAGTATTGGCATGGATGGCGCGCTCCAACAGTAGTAATAGGTCTTGTGGCGTGTATCCCTCTGTCTCTTTGGCAACATCTGCCAGGTTTAGAGTCTGTAAGGTCTCACCAAATGTGCTTTTTTTTCTAAGTATCAGCCGGTGCAGGATTTCAGCTCTCTGAGCCTACAAACAACAACAAACAAGAAGCCGTCACTTTTTGTTTTGTGTGTGTGTGGATATTTGTGCTTGTATTTGTGTGTTGACCTGGTCTGATGGCTGGATGTGTACAAAGCCCTGGATGAAATGGGACCCCTGCATCTCGGTCAGGGAGGGGTGGAGGGAATGCTCGCTCTGGCTGGTGATGATCAGACACACCAGACTGCCGTGAACCAGCACCTCATCCACAGCATCCATCAGACCTGCAGCCACAAACAGACGACAGCGAATCAGCTAGGCCTGGAATAATTACGAGACCTACCTGTGAAAAAACATGACCATAGGCGCCCCGCCCGCACAAATAAACATTAAGAATGAATGATTTACTCTGCGCAATGTGCTGTTGCAGCAGCGCCTCAGCACCATGCTCATGCTCTGGTGAGGTCGGTGCCCCGGACAAATGGTCCAGGTCATCAAGTAGGACAACGGACGGCTGCTTCCACTCGGCCTCTTCAAAAATATCCTGCAGCGTCTGTCTCACTGTCTCTGCCCTTTTGCCTGAGAAGGAAGAGAAAAAAAGACACACACACACACACACACACACACAATTTCTAGGATATATTCAACTACATTTCTTTGATACACAGAATGTACACATAAATGTATAAAATATCAACCTTGTAGTTTTTTGCAGTCCAGCAGCTCAACATGCGCATCCAGATCCTCTCTAGCTTTTCTACAGAGGGCTTGGGATAGAGTGCTCTTTCCACTCCCCTGTGGGCATATAAAATAACATAGTATATGTTATATAAAACAATAGTTAGGGGTAGACATAGTAAATAACGTGTGCTGTGTCTGATTAATTCAACAACCTGCATCAACACTTCAAAATCATTAAATATTTTAATTTGCTCTCTGTAGACTGTAGAAATATAAATTTCACCGTGATGGTTAAATTAACAGATACCTTAGCACCAGTGATGAGAAGAGCTCCTCCCTGGAGTCCCCGTCCAGTTGTACCAAGCTCCCTTGAGAGGGGACTACCCAGCAGGCTGTGGGAGATGAAGTCAAATCCAGTCCTACTAAGCTCATCAATCCCACTGAGGATTGATGAGATGAAGAGAAAAGGGAAATCTGAAAAAGATCCTTGTTTAAACCACCCATGCACTCACAAAACGCTACCTGCTTACCCTAGAATATCAAGTGAGGGAAGTTCCGGTTTGGGAGTTAGAGTTGTAGAATTCCCAGCTGGGAATGTCGCTGGCTCTCTGTCAACCTGTAGGTGACGCACAGTGTGAGTTTTATGAACCCAGAAGTTTTGAGGCATCACGTTTTTCACCTGCATGAAACTATACCGAACTAAAACTGCATGCAGAACTCTGTTTTTATTACAGAACATAAACAATTAAGCTTGATGCTTGTACCTGTATGTTTTCCTTCAGGATAACCGCTGATGCGAGTGAAAACAGCTGGTCTGGAGGATCACTCTTTGGTTCCGGTTTAAGTATAGTTAAGGCAAACTCTAACATTGCTATAAATAAAAAATAAAGATGGGAGAATAGTGAATGCAGCTATTTGTATTTTCATTTGAATGTGTGCATTGTATTGAGTTTTAGACTAAGTAGATCTTTATACAAAAGTGCCTTTGGTGGATTTACAATAAGTTGTATAAGAAGAGAACAAATCACCATCCGTTCCATGTAGCAGGATGGTGCCAGACCGCGCAGTCAGACAGGCTAATGGTTCATGGCTCTGAGTGTGTAGCCAACCGAGGAAAGCTGTCTTGATCTCGTCGTCGTCCTCCTCAAGCTGGAGAGAAATAGTCAAATATCACATGAACAGAAGGGAGAGAAGTAAATTGGATTATATGACTTTTTAAGGACCAATAGTTTAATAGATCAAATGAAAAATGAAACCTAATTCCATACTGTAATCTCATATGGTTACATCAGCACTCACCAGTGGTGTAAGAGGCTGCAGACAAATAGCGGAGGCCACTTTGATCGTTGATATGACTGGCTTAATTCGAACCGTTGAATGTTGGATGATATTCAACCTCATGGCCAGGGGCTGTGGGATCTGAAAATCACAATAACTACATCACATACGACAGTACAAAGAAGCACAGGACGGAGCTACAGCTCATCGTTGGTTGATGTGGATAGATGAACAGTGACCAAACTTACCCATACTCTTCCACTGTGGATCTCTCCCCTGCTGTGGCTGCTTTCCTTGCACGTCAGCTTCTCACTGTCATGGCACACCACCCTGACCACTGTAGCTTCCTCTTCTTTCACCTCCTCTCCTGCAGCAACTTTAACCAGACCTGCATTCTTCTTTTTCTCCATAGCCAGCTTGGCTCTGTCCCTTGATTCTTTAGGAGAGACAACTTTGGAGAGCAGACCATAAGTCACTGGTGACTGGTCTCCGGTTGGTCCAACCCTCGGCTCATGGCTCCAAGGAAACAAATGAATAACAGCGGTTGAGATTTGGCTTATAGTGCAGCGGGAGTCTGGAGGTGCACCGCACACTCTGTAAATAGAGTCATTGAAGAGGAAAGGGATGTCAGGTAGAGGTGGTAGCCTGTTCACTGGGTCATAAGAACCTTTTATCAAATAACGTAGCATGCTCTTCAGGTCAGCTATACCCCCCCATTGGTGGATTTGAGGGACAGGAGTGGTATTTTCCAATGATGGTCCTGAGGAGTTCGAAAGATCCGTATTTTGCTGTTTCTTGCTGTTTCGCACTGGAGAACCACTGAGGGGGCCGATTCTAGTGCGGCTCTTCGGAGAGACAACTAGTTCTGTGAACTGCTCCAAGCGACCATACGGTACAGAGGGGGAAAGTGATGCTGCAAGTTAAGAACAGATCATAATGGGTTATGAATTCTAATCACCAGTAACGAGCAATATATGAAATGTAAACAAGAGGAGCTGAAAAAACTTTTAAAAACTTTAAGAAGTAGGCTTAACTAGTTGAAACCACGTCATGTTTGAATTATTTACTAACAAAAAATTGTAATTATTTGATTAACTCTGACCTATTTGGATGTAGATTGCAGTGTGGCCGTCCACCCAGACAGGAAACACGGCATCTTGAAAAACAACTCTGATCTGATCCAATAGCTGCTGCTCCAGAGCAGCACTGTGGAGCTCCTGGGGATGTCAGTCACAAAAACCAGAGAATGTAATATGGATTTATGGTTTAAACCATTTACAAATACAGCGAAATTCTCCCCACGATGACATGAATGTTACTGATTAAGTCTATATGTCAACCCACCAAGATTTCCCAGTCATCAGATGACAGTGGCTCCACAAACACTCGATGCACTGATGAGACCTGGTGATGTGGTCTCAGGAAGCCCTAAGTAAAATGAAACCACAACTCGGTCACAAACCACCACAAAGAAAGACGGCCAGCACATGTCATGCAGCGATTACGGTCAAATTCCAGTGGGAAACAATGTCAAGCTGCACCTGCTCTCCGTCTCTAAGGCCAAGCTTTTCGCCCATCTGTCGACAGAGCTCCACGTCATGGCCGTCCAGGCTGCAGGAGCTTCTGTTTTGAGTCCAGCTGAGGAACACTGGAGATCCATCACCCCAGGACAACTCCAAAGCCTGGTTCTGAACACAGACGCACAACGTTTTTGCTGTTATATTTTTTTGATTCTAGTGTATAGAAGTAACCACCCAGCCAAACAAAAAAGTAGTAAGGCCTGTGCATTGATCATGCAAACTCTCTTATATACCCGCAGCAACATCGTCTGAAAGTTTTATGGATTTTGTCAGCTGTAAATTGAGCCCAGTGAAACTGGAAACAGGATATAAAACTATGCAGGAACTTATAACCGTATTTAGCCACTCTCCATTGAAAAGGTTTTGTCACCACCAAGTGAGAATGCAAGGAAACTACTGGCTACTAAATTCTTCTGTCTGACACAACTATCTAATACGTATGTATTTATATATTCAATCTCTGAAATATGTCTCAGAAGATGTCTTCGCCAGAACATTTCATGTGTCACTAAAAAGCTTTATGCACGTGAGCCTGTGGCTTTAATTAACTTAGCTTCGATTCATTATTAAAGTAACCTAACGGTAAGCTTTGGTATCATGAATTCAGTAACATCAAATGAATATATATTGGTCCGAAATAACGGGCACGCGTTCACTCATGTTTGTTTTGCTTGAACAACGTCCCAACAAACGAAACATCCTGTAACGTTACTGCTAGCTTGCTAGCTGCCTGAAACTGACAGCTAACTAACTTACTTCGCTCAGGGAAAGATGTGATATCAGCTTGGAGGAGAGATGGAGGAAGCAGTTTTTTGCGTTGTTAAAAACAACAGTTACGGATTGAATGCCATGATTACTAAACATTATCTTCACATAGCTTGACAAGCTGTATCGATGTAAAACTGGTCACTTTGCTAAGGTTAAATGCGCAGCGAACAGAGCCGATCGATGTGCTCCTTGTGCCTTGCTAACGCCAGACCAAAGCAGCCAACACCGAGCACGTTTCAAAATAAGATATTATACGCGGCCACACAGTCCACGGCGTTAGTATTGGAGCGAGGAGCTATTATTTTGAAGTGTGTCAACCGGAAACGTATTTCCATAAACATGGCGGCATCTGCCAGAAACAGTTCGAGCTGTTGGGATGTCCCAGATGTTTATAAACACCACGAACAGCAGAAGATATGCATTTCTCGACCTAAATATAGAGATGGAAGAAAAGATAAAGCTGTTAAGGTAAGAATTTGCTAAATAGAAGTAGTACAGAGCACAGCTCATATGAAGCTAGGAGACACACTGCGATGTACCGTTGATACTTTACGTCGTTGGACAATAAAAACACATTGTAGTGTGGCTCATTCCAGAGTGAGTGTGTGTGTGTGTGTGTGTGTCTGTCATAATTGTCTTATGCATCATCAGGTGTATACCATCAATTTGGAGTCTCGTTACGTGATGGTCCAAGGGGTCCCGGCCATTGGGGTGATGCCAGAGCTGGTCCAACTGTGTGCCCTGTACGGCGCTGTGGAGGAATACCGGCCGCTGGATGAGTACCCCGCGGAGGACTTCACGGAGGTCTACCTCGTCAAGTTCCAGAAACTCACCAGCGCCAGGTACACGGCGTCACTAACGCACACTAACGGTTGTTCTACTGCATATGCAAAGTTGAATAGAAGAGCTATAAACGTTGGCTTCAAACTTTCTGTTTCAGAGCTGCCAAGCGGAGAATGGATGAGAAGAGTTTTTACGGCGGCGTGCTGCATGTGTGCTACGTCCCCGAGTATGAGACCGTGGAAGACACGAGGCTGAAGCTTCAAGACCGGAGGAGATACGTCGTCAGGGCTGTTCAGAGTAAAGGTACAACTAAACATCATATATAGACTTGCACCTCAGTTTAACACCAATAACCTGATTTTATATTTACTGTCATTTTCTACTTTTAATGAAATGTTTTTTTTGTTTATAGTTGGAATGACAAATGAACATGAACCTCAACGATATATATTTTTTCTCTTATTTTGTTTCAAAGCAAGAGAAAAGAAGCAGAGGGAGGCCGTGAATGAGGAGACTACATCAAACACAGGCCCCACGTCAGAGACGGTCATTCCCAGACGTCATAAAACGTCTGACAACGACAATGCAGAGAAGACTTCAAACATCAGCCACTGTACAGACTTTCCTCCACTGCCGTTACCTCCCCGGGAATATAATTACTTCCTGCATAAAAGTCACCATGAGACTGTACCAACAGAAGACAAAATGGGGACATTGCATAATGCCATCATTGACAAAAACCAGCAGAAAGGGCACAGTTCAAGCTCCAGCCAAAGCTTACTAGGCAGTGACACAGAATGCAGACTGACCTCAAGTCAGCCGTCTGCTGTTGTCCGATTCGTCCCTAGAACCACACACTTGGAGACTCGGAAACGCAAGTTGACAGATGCAGCAGTGCACTCACCGACATATGCTGCTAGAAACAATGAGACGCTCATTGGTCCAAAGCTACCAGAACCTCCCAAAGTGGACATGGAGGATGAGTCACTAAACACAACTGTAAGCCTGATCAGGAGCACGATGAAACAGGTATCCCATAATCAGATCATTGTAATTAAACACAATAAAGATTTAGTTCTTCATTGTAGCTGTAGTTCATTGATTTGTGTCAGTAAACTCTTTGTTCTCATGGTTCTCAGGTGGAATCCGTTCCTGTCCCCAAACCAGTAGAAAAAAAGCTGAAACCCCGTCGTCGGATTTGATCTACAGTAATACGGTTCCTTATTGCTGGAATTTCTGCGTAGATTGCTGGCATTTCGTTGAAAAATGACCCTTCAAAGTGTTTCCTTTGGCAGAGGGTTTTTATTTACAAATGTTGCAATACATGTTTATTAAAGAATGTTTCTAAAATACATGAGACATCCCTTCACTTTTGCAGTTCTCGAAATACACGCTGCTCAAATGCCTCGACTCTCTGAAAACAAGTAAAAAGGGTTCAAGATCAAGAATTACTGAAGCAAGAATTAAGAAGATATTCTTGTTTTTCAAAGTATTTGATTTGTTTTTACCTTGAAGTTAGGGAGGCAAGTTCCAAAAGCTTCAAGTAAAAGATTCTCTTCTTTAACTGACTGTTCAAAGTCAGAAAAGGACAGTCTGCCATCGTGGTCACGGTCCTGCAAAATTATAAAATGTGCTTGTAGTCAGTTGTGTAGATATATTGGTGAGATATCCGCATATGAGATTTGCTTTTTGCTCAGAGGACATTTGAAGGGGTTTAAAGGTGTAAACCAACAGTGCTTTCGTCCCCTTACCATCTTCTTGAATGTGATCTCCACTAGGTCTTTGACTCCTTCGTCACGTTCCTCCTTTGTGGGCAGTCCGGGGAGGCAGTTCTTTAGCATGTGATACATCTCCTCCATGGAGACTAAGGTATCGTCGTTCAAGTCGTATACGCGGAAGCAGACTGAGCCGTCCAAAAAGAAAAGAGTTATCACCCGAATAAAAGCTTCTAGCTCAATTATTTTTATGCCACTCGGCGCACCGAGTTAGAGAACTTGCATTTTATTTTGTCATCCAAGCTCCCGCGAAGGAAAATGGACAGCCCTTCAATCCATTCTTTTGTACTGACCGAGCTATCGTTGTCTTTGTCAAATTTCCTGAACACTGGGAAACATATTCAGAAACACTCAGAAAAGTTCCAGGTTATCAATCCCAATTACATCCAAACGACTGGAGGTTATCCAAATATAAAATGTGTCGTTCCTACACTTGTGACATACACACAGCATAGATATTAATGTAGAGGGACCGACGGTACCTCTATCCATCATAATATCGTCGCTTATCCCAAAGGTGTTCTGCAGGATGCTTCTGAACTTGACTCTGTCCAGGCCCGGGGCTCCTTTTCCGGGGGAAGTCGGCTCACCCAGACGCTCGTTGTAGTCGCGGATCAGACACTCCACCTCTGCTGTATTGACTGGAACGATTCATTCAGACAGCAGCCGACGCGTAACACCCTGTTTCCTACACGCGGTGTGCTGTCATTTGTTTTGTTACAGTCGCGTCGTACTCTCAAGGACCGTAACGTGTTGTCATAAAGGCTTAAAGCCGGATCCGCTGCCACAAACCGCGCCCGCTCGTTACTGACGGAAGTCTTTACAGAATTAAATATGACTTTGTTTAAGTTTCCGAGTTCGAGGCAAATACTCACAGAGCTCCACTTGTCCTGATATCGACTCGGCGAGAGTTTTGATCAACCTTTTCTTCATGGCGGACATGTTCGACATGTTTTAAGATCGGACGCGAGCGAAGGCGATGTTTGCGTGCGGTCGCTATGGCAACCGCCGGTAATGGCGTCCGGCTGAAGACTGTCAAGAGTCCCTGATGCTTTGACTATTATCAATGCAAAGTGATTCATCGCTAACCAAAAAGGTAATTCATAATTACTTAATATTAAAATTAATTAACAATAGTAATTAATAATTTCCAGAATAAGCCCCACGTCGGCTCTGGGTTTGAAAGAGATGCATAAACGGCAACGGATTAAAGCCTTAAACCGACACACCCAAAGCACTTTATTTTCATAGGGATCCACTTCCGGTCTTATTCCATCTTGAAAAACGTTAAGATCACCGTGTGTGTCACCAAGTAAATTCAGTACTCCACTGCTTGTGATGGAGGGTAGGATGCATATGTAGAACTGTTGTTTTTTATGTTAAAAAGCGATGTCAAATTTCAAGACATCTGAAATATTTTCTTTTCTTCATTTTATCTTCTGGAATTTGGATGATAAGTAATTGTAATGTACTTGTAACGTCTCACCACAAGGTGGTAGGTAATCCATTCAAAAGGGGAAAAATAAATACATGACACCTAAACATCGGAAAATTACAACTATTGGAATAATCTGCTAAGAGGGCTGCGGGTAAAAAAACGTATATAGATGTTTACCAATTTCTTTAAATGATGCATGTTCTTGATGTTATATTTGAATTTATTAAGTGAAGAACGTAAGTTTAATATTTAATTCATAAAATACAATGGATTACGACCTCGTCAGATAAAATACACTGAATCAAAAACAAATAAAATCTTAACATTTCTGATCAAGGGCATTAACTCACAATACTGCACCTCTACCTCCTCCTGTTTGTGTGTCTGTGTGTGCATTGTGTCTGTAAAAGACAGAAGTTGTGACAGAGAAGTTAAATGTGCTCACGATCTGAGGGTGCGCTTTTCAGTCCAACGATTATTTTAACGAGTGTTCTTATGTGCACGGTGCGCCTGCGTCACTCAAAACGCTGTGCAAGGTTAGTTCTGATTGACAGCGTTGCGTCCACCCAGTTGTTTGGGTTTTCGATCATGGAAGTCCACACAGCAACTTCCTCTTCTGTAGAGTCCATCCAGCTGACCGGCTCCCCATAACTCTGACCTGCCATTAAAAGAGCAGTGTTCAATAGTCACCTTGCATAAGTTAACACAGAAATCATCACCTCAATCCACACACCAAAGGAATGGTGCGGCTATACTATGTCAAGCAGTATGACAATATTTCGCAATACACAAGCACCGCTGGTAACTTAGAAATGACCCCGCTCTGATGACAAGACCATCGGAAATGCCTGAAAGGCCAACTGGACTCAAATGCAACGCAGAGCACTGGATGGGGATACTGTCCCGACCACACCAGTCTGAAACCCATGGAGCATGAAGCACAAGATGCTGGAAGGGAAAATTTGCAAAGCTTTCAGTGAAACCATGTCGCCGTCCATCGGAAATGCAACGGGAACCCTTAGATAGCATTGAATCTCTAATCACAGCTCAGAAGATGCTCAAACTTTCCTCATCCCCTTTCAAACCTTAATTCATACGGAGTCTGCTGTCACGTATTGACTTATAGATGACAGCCCAAGATAAACATGAGTGAGTTAACTTATAAAGCACAGCACCCACAACGGCCAAAACCGAGAGATGAGATAAGATTACTGGGCTCCAGCAGGAGAACAAACCCTGTCCCTAATCACAAATACTTTGACGACAAAGTAAATACAGGGGCGTTGTTCCCACATCTCCGTCATGTCATTCGTCACAGAACCCTTCCCTTAAACTGAAAAGGTGCCCCTTACAAATGACCCATCTGTCAAAATGTTCCCTTTTCTGTGCTCACACTGAAACCGCCGAAAAACACCCACGAGCAAAAACATCGGTGTCATTTAAAGTGTTAATCAATGTGTACTAATTTAGTGCAGAGAAACGCACCAGTTCCACAGCTCAGACGAATCCCGCCCAGGACGTGCGGCTTTAACCCTTCGCGGTGCCAGACGGTCAGCTCGGCGCACGCCTCTCTCAGGTCGCTGGAGTGGAAGCCGTCATAGACCATGGTGTGGTTGAAGGTCGGGCTGATGGAACGCTTCACCAGCCGCGTCTTCTGACCGCTCTGCCGACTGGCGTCTGGGAGTATGTAGCTTTCGGGCGTAGATTAGGATTATGGGACAATTACAGTCAGATTCGAGCCAGGATTCAGTTATGTGTTAATATTCATATTATATAATATATATATATATATATATATATATATGCATGTACACAGTTGTCTATGTTTCTGTAGTACGCCGGACAGTATGTGTTAAAAACCTTCAATGTACACAGTAAATAAATAGTCAGAAATATGCATGTGACGGTGGAGAATTCAACTGAAGGATCATACATGTCCTCTTCCAATATTTTTTCTAGATAACTGGCAGCAAAATATCAGGAAACACGTTGCAGAGTTGACACACCTTCTGACAAAGGAGTCCATTGCTCCCCCTCTGTTGGCCAGAAGGCCTTGAGCCTCCCGAAGCCAAATGTGAAGCTCTCCCGTCAAAGGCAGTCCACCGCCTTAGAACACACACACACACACACACACACACACACACACACACACACACACACACACACACACACACACACACACACACACACACACACACACACACACACACACACACACACACACACACACACACACACACACAATGTATGAGACACACGCGATTACCGTGGGACACAACTTCCATCTATTATGCGTGTGCTCTGCTCACCCTCAAATCCGTCTGGGACGAACTTAATAGAAAGCAAGATGAGCCCACGGCTGCTAATGGAGTCTGGATTCAAATTAATCTGCGATGTGGGGTGAGAAAAAGGGAACGAGACACATGGAGCGAGAGAAAGAAAAAGCGAGGGAGAGGGAGGCAGACGTGTGGAAGCAGGAGAAGATTAAGGTTGCATAAAACCTTAGTTGAAATTCACGGCGTGTCTTCCTCTCCCTTCAGCTCTCTCAGACACAAAGAGACTCTCCTTTTACTGTGTCCAACAAAGCCGCCCAACGGCCGTGACACTAAACTCACACACTACTAAACAAACATAGATTCGATATTATAGATAACGTATATTGGTAGGGAAGATTTTAACGCTCGCATACTAATCCATGTGAATTTCAAATCGTTCACCACTGCGCCTCCCTACCCGTGGCTGCAGGTCCTGCCACAGCGGCTGAGAGCACGTCCAGTCCCAGAGGCCCAGAGACACCTCCACCTCACCCAGGAACACGTTTCTGCCAAGGGGGTCGGCGTGCCACACCGACAGGTTCAAGGTCCGACTCCGCAGCTCTCCAATCCGCACCTTATACTACAAAACAAGAGCCGGAATCCCACACGCAGGACATGAAAGGAGAGAAGCGGCCGGTCAGAACTTAACATGTCCCCTGCCACCATAAAAGATGTAGACTTCAAATCTGGTTGTTGTGTGAGAAATAAACGACTGCTGTACAGGTTGCTGGACATGTTGGACGAAGCCGAGGGACAGGCGGGGATTTCTGTGAAGGCTGTAACTTAATGTTTAAATGAGAGAGTATCTCACTCGCAGCGTCTGATCGTAGACTGGGTTTAGTGTCTTCTTCTTCACTGACGTTTTCTTCTTGCTGCGACTTGACTTGTCCGGTAAGAGATAGGTTTTCACGTATCTGTTAAAAAAAGCGCACACATATTTTATCGTGATCCCGTACGTGACACTTTTTGGTGCAGAACACACCTTCGCACGTCACTCACGGGTCGGAGCGATCCTTGCGTGCCGAGGCGATTTCCTCGCAGCGATACACTTTCACTTGCAGCTCCTCCTTCTGGGTGTCGTAAACCAATGAGAATTGGATACGGCCCCTAACCTCCACCATTCCGAAATCGCCTGAGCTGAACAGACTCATCATGCTTCCACTGAGCTATAAACACACGCAGAACAGAGATTAGCTCCTTCCACACGTCTGCAGCTGAGTCATCCTGCGCCGCTGGATGGCCAATTCATCAAATTTGCTTGGGTGTGCAGGCACCAAAGCCTGTGTGTGTGTGTGTGTGTGTGTGTGTGTGTGTGTGTGTGCACCGTGTAGGCCGAATGAAGGCTGCCGGTGGAGCTGCTGGATTTCAGAGAGGCTGGTTCCTGCTCGGTCTGGCCGCTGCTCAGAGACTCAGTGTCCCCGTTGCGACTGCCAAAGTCTTCCTATAAACACACACACACTCATTCTCAGAGACAGCGTGACTAATGATCATTTGATCGCTCATTAAAAAGGGACAAAATCTGTAATTGCTTTAGAAATTAAAAATATTCACCTCAGGTTCCTCTGAGTTACTTCTTCTGTCGCTCTCTATGAGAGAAATGTATTGAAAACAACTAAATAATAACACAGAGGGAGACAGAAAAAGAGACAGAGACAAACCTCTATACCTTTGGATGATGAGAGGCCATTTTCATGCTGGAGACCCTGGAATTAAAGTCGATTATTCAGAATTAGATGATGTGTATTTCCTGTTTTGATCAAGGTAACGTGTACATGTACACAGACCTGTGCACCAGAAATGTGAGTTCTGGGTGTGGGGACAGGCTTAAAACTTCCTTCACTCCTGAAAAACACAAACAACAACATGGGAAAAGGCATCTCCACGCGAATGTTACGCAAGTGAGAAGATCTTTCTGTGACGGACGACCTCACTGACCCTCCACTCTCCTCTTCTTTGCTGTCCTTCAGTCTTCTCTCTACCTCAGGAGAACCTGAACTGCTGTGAGGGGATTCCGCTCTCTCCCCAATAAATAGACCAGGCAGCGGTACGTCGGTTACTATGACAACACACAAAGAACCATCACCGGGATGTCCCTGTAGTAGCAATAAAACGGCGCCACAGGCCTGTATCAGCGATATTGCATGAGGTGAAAACAGAACCTCTGTTCTTGGTCTTCCTGTGGCGTATGCTGGCGTGGACGAGCGTGGAGCCCGACGTCCGGTCGCGATGGCGTTTGCTGTACTCCTCGCTGAACCAGGCTCCTGACAGGATGCGCAAACGGGCTGGATCTCTCTCGGTCTCCTCGAGGACCCTGCAGCGTGGAAGAGGTGCCAAACCGTAAAAACAAGTACAAAACAATAGATGCAAAAGTCAGCTGCCGACGGCCGACGACAAAAAACAGCTGTTGGCGTCGGTTCTGTCGCTCAACTTTACTCAATGCACAGAGAGACAAAGAGCTTCACCATCCTGCTGATGAAATACACTCAACTTGAAAGTTGTCAGTTTCATTTTCTTAGAAGTTTCATAGAAGTGCAATTAGTTAATTGAACAATTTTTCAGAAAATTGAAAATGTAACTGATTCGAGTCAATTAAGCAAAAATGCTACGCTTTCCCCACTTTCTGTTCAATATTTTTGAACAGATAGAAATAGAAATTATGATTTGAGTAAACAATGCTCGATATTACGGTATTAATAACCTTAGAGACATAGAACTCCTTAACCAGAGACATAGGGCTCCTCGACGAAGAATAAGAAGAAGCCATTTTTTAGTATTTAACAGGAAATTGCTCTCTGCGTTTAACCCATCCCACACAGCGGGAGCAGTGGGATGCCGTAAAGGCCCCGGGGAGCAGTTAGGGGTTGGGCGTACGGAGCAGCCGGGATTCAAACAGCCAACCCTGCAGTTCCCGGCGCTCCCTCTCTAGTCCATGCGCCACTGTCATGTGCTAGTGATAAGTGATCAATAAAACCACAGATGTAGAAGCTGCTTTCACTATGTGTTCACTACATTTTAAGTATTTTTTTCTTTTGATTCATCTCCTGTCTGTACATTAAGCAATGGACAAAACTGGCCCCTAAAATGGATAAACAGTCACCTCTGACCTTACGCGTCCTTCATCGAGATGACGCAAGTCCAAGTCACGCTCTAAGACCTGCAGGATGGTGGACTGCTCCTCTTCGGTCAGGTGGCTCAAGTCAAGAGAAGAGTCAGCACGTTTCTCCTCCATCATCCCTGAGTGAGAGACCAAACCGCAAAAAAAACATTAGACAAACAGAGATTCATCTCTAAATACAGTTAATTATGCTTTATATTATATGTCTAGTGTGATGTACCTCAGTGAATATTGGCTTATATATCTCAGAAGACAGTTTATAATAGTTTATCACACAACCTTTTCAACATTGTTACATTGTTGAATTTAAATAATTATTGAGGCCTGAAGAGGTAAAAGTGTTCCATTTCTCACAAGAGAGGAAATGTCAGAAAGAAAATACCTTATTTAATGGAGCACATAAATGCTTTATCTTCTGCCTCCACGCAATTAAACCATTTAACACGCGTTGAAAGCATGAACACTTCTGTTCTTGTTCTAAATGCTCTCTACTGTAGACCTTCTAAAATATTAAAACTACAAAAGAAACAACAATGTAATCATTTTTTCTCTGTGCGTGTGCGCGTTACCTCGAAATTATCAACGCATGCGCGAAGCGATCCGCCTTTAAAGTTTGTGCAACACAGCTGTCACGCGATATAAAATATATCATAGAGTGTTTAGTTGATGGCATCAGATGAACGTCTCTCATAATATTAGTTTATGTGTATCATATTAATTAGTGTCTGTGATAATTCTATATAATCGAGGTTTCGCGGTCGGTTTTACACGAACTCTCAGGAAAAAAAAGCAGTTTCCTCATCACGAACAGCGCGAGCGAGAAAACACCTGTCGCCACTTTCCCCCCCTTTCGCAAACAAAGGTCCCGCTCTCCCGTCCCCACTTTCAGCAAATCCGCACAGCGAAACACAAAGAGTGGAAGCCCGTTTTACCTCACCGGAGAGCCTCGCAGACTTCCATATGGGGCAAGTGGAGAGAGAAGTCGTCCCGAGGTCGCTGCGCGTCGCGGTGCGTGTGTGCAGACTCCCCGCAGCGAACACACCAACACACCGTATCTCACTGGGAGCTCGGGTGTGTGTTTTAGATTGACGCGGTGTGTTTGTTAGATATGACTCACGCGCGCACACACACACACACACACACACACACACACGGATGTTTTACCAAGGGTGGATGTGGGAAGTCGTTGTCCTCCTTGTAGCAGTCCACACCTGCTTAACACACCGAGGCTGCTGCTGCTGCACCTACAGGCTGACTTCTCTGCAGCCTACCTGACACACGTACGCACTAAACACACGGATATGTGCTTGTTTGGAAGTGAGTACAGCCAGCAGCACTTTGGGCCTGCTTCCACTTCAGTCTGGTAATGTGTGTGTGTGTGTGTGTGTGTGTGTTTGTCTTCCCCTTCGCTCATTGGAAATGTGTTTTTTTCCTGTGTTGGGGGAGGGTGCATTGGGAGTGCAAAAGACCTGTTTTCAGGCCGATCCTTTTGTCACTAAACTTGGATGACAGCCACGCACTGCCCGGTTGGGAAAGTTTTTGGGGGTTTTTTGTCCAAGCTTATTGAAGCCTGCCCATGTCCTCGGTGCACCAGCCATCCTGCTGCTCCCCTAAAGGCCTCCATCACTGGCACTCGTATATGTGAGGTTTAATAGGTTGAATCTTATTGCGCCCAGATTCCTGCAGAATCCGTTCACTCTGTGGCTGTGTGAGTAAACATGCATCCAGCATACAATCTCTTAAATAGAATAGCAACTCCTCATTTGAATGCAAGCAAGCAGACACTCAAAGAAACAGGTATTTCCTCTTAGTTTATTGAGGAGGCCAGCGTTTTAAAGCATTTCTATGCAGTGGTATCACACACAAACCACGTAGTTACTTTTAAACTTAACCAGCATCACCATATAAGTAAACAGGGTCACATCACATCTCTTTAAAGTGCTATTAAACGTTTTAAAGCTGCTTTTTTATACGATACAAATATGAGCAGTTGAAACAGAAATCTTCTCTGAACTGAATTTTTATAAAAACATTTAAATAAAAAGAATATTCACTATGGATGCGCACAAATCAGCAGAGAGGTGCTCAATCTACTACTGCTCTGAGAATTAAATGTTCCCAAACACGGGATCTTGGGCCTTTAAAGAGATGTTTCCTTAAGCTCCCCAACTAAATTACTTGAGTCACTGCAAGTAAATAAATGAAATGTATAATATGTATACAAATATTAAAATGTTTGATTCCAATACAACACAAGAAGGTTATGCAGCTCCACATGAAACACAGATGTCTTCTGGGATGATGAACAAAGTCATTCAGATTCTCTTTTCGGTCTATTTTAGGATTTTCTTTTTAGTCTAAGTCTAAGTGACTGTTATGACCTTTTCTCATACTACGTGTACAGTGGGATTAAATCAGTCTTTCCCACAACCGCACCGTGCTATTTACACTAGTGAAACGGCTCACTGGCTAAAGCTTGCTTGTTGTTTCTGAGATGAAAAATACTTAACAGGTTCTTTTGTTGAAAATCGACAGTCATTTTTGTCAAAACGGTGATTTGCTGAGAAGCATTTGTCATTTTGCTTATTGAATGAATTCTGCCAAAATATCTTTAGAATATATATGCTATAAAAACACAGTGAACACATGAAGAGACACTCGTTACACATATGAACTTCTGAACACACCCGTTCACCCAAGTGACACGTGGGGACCAAACAATTAAACGACCGGCCCTCAGGAGAGGACGAGGGAGACACACTCTTGTTGTTCGATCTTGACGCGTCACGCTCTGCTGTCCTCCAGCCTCGCCCGCCTGCCCTTCATACGTCTTGTCCTCATTGTGGCTGCTCTCTGTATGAAGATAGGAATGATTTTGATTTGGACAAATGGGGTTTGTGATCAGGATCAAAACACAAATCTAGACGGATGTCAAAGGGGAATCCCGCTGTGCATCGGATGCTGATGATAACTCCTGCCACCAGAGGCTGCTGCTGCTGCACCAGCGGACTGTCACTTAACTCGGGGAGACATGCACATTCTCAAACTGACACAGTCACGCTAAATTCTCTGTTCTCCAACACCTGCGTGGAGAAACTCACATGGGGTCGTAAGTGCTCTGCTCTTTGGATTTGAGGAAGCGCATGGCGAAGAAGCCGCCGGCCTGCACACACAGCACGAGTATGATGCCTCCGACGAAACTGCTCATGTCAAACTTGGCCTGGGAGAACTCTGAGGGTGCGTCGGTGTCACTTCCGTCACCTGGAGGGGGAGAGAAATGGAAGAGTCTTTACAGTCGGTGAGACTACGTTAAAGCCGTCTGTGGTGGAGAATAACAAGAATGTCAACTTCTTGATCTTATTTTCTGGGGACAACATTTTGCTCAGCTCTTACTTTCACCTCTTCCCTCAGCGACAGTCTCTACAACTGGGAAATAAAAGAGAGGAAATGTAATGAAAGTTACTGAGGATGCAGATCAAGAGGTTGTGTTGATTCCGGAGTGTATTGTTTGCTTACCTGAGCACAATTCGGGCACTTTCGTCCAGCTACAGTTCCTGCCGATGTCTGCCGGGTTTCCATCATCAGTCACACACATGCCTGTATCATTACCTGAGCGAAAAAGAGAACAAGCATTGTTTTAGTGTGTGTGTGTGTGCGTGTGTGTCTGTGTCTGTGTGCACGCGCATGTATCATGTGTGCGTTCCTGGCATTCTAAATAATTCAGTCATCTTGTACAAACCAGGGTAGCTTACGTTTCAGCAGCTTTGATGATTGAATTTCCATCAGAGGTCAGGGGTGCGTGCGTTTGTATGTGGAGTGGGTTTCTGTACCTGTGTGTACCTGAGTATGTGTGTGTGTGTGTGTGTGTGTGTGTGTGTGTGTGTGTGTGTGTGTGAGTCACCATTTGGGCAAAGCCTCCAGACACAGCCTGTCAGGTTGAGCATGGAGTCACCAACGCACAGGTCACATGACTCGGCTTGAGAACAATCTGTAGGAGGGACAAAACTGGCATTCAAATTGAGAGTTGGGTCGCGGATGCATCCTGGTCTTCCCACAGAGACATTAGACCAGTTCTATGCCAGCCTGGACAATGTCCCAATAAACAAAAGCAAGTGGGCAAAATGCCAGATGAAACATTGCAAATCCTCATTCACGTTATCCGTATTTTTAGTCATTGTCAGCTTGAGAGAAATACTGGAGAATGAGCCATCATCACAGTTAATGAGAGGAAATGTCACCAGAGATAAAGTCTCGAAAGAGATGAAATGATGGCAAAATGCCAGTTAAGACATCGGATGTCTCCAACAAGACTAAATGCACTGAGATGATCACACGGTAACAAAGAAAACATGTGGCATGTGGATGCCTCCATACCTGACTGTGAGTACACAGAGGGAACCACTGCTAGAAGCAGCAGTGTTGAGACCAGGACCTTTAAAGCCAACTGTTGCATCCTCGCAGCCACAGATCACCAACACCTGCAACTGACAGCTGAAGACTTTTGGTGCTTAGAGTGAAACTCGTGTCAACAAAAAAAGTTGCGAAAAATAAAATATCCCCTGCAAGTCCCTCGTAAAAGGTGTCCAATAGTTTCAGATAGAGATATGCCTCCTGGCTGCTACACAGAGAGAAAGACAGGAGACACGGAGATCTGTGTAATATGAGCACCCAGACCTGGTTTCCCCAGCAACCAATTGGCCCACCTCAACCCTCCTGAAATACACACCTGTTAGGAAGGAGTGACAGCTGTTTGCTTTGGTACACGCACATGCACACGCACACACACACACACACGCACGCACGCACGCACGCACGCACGCACGCACATACGCACTGCACTCAATTAACCTGACCCTCAGGGGTATCTTTACCATTACTAAGTATTTTCCTTTCAGACGACTTATGTTGTTACACCGGATGTTGTAAGACAGTGGGTCCAAACCTAGCAGTCAGAAGATCACTTATAGAAAAAATGAGAGACGTGTATGGATCAAGGTTCAAATCATGTTCATCTTCCTAGAACCAATGACTGTAGGAACCAAAGATATAAGATATTTCCATCTGGACCTATTTTTCTTTTTTTTTTAAACAGTATCCTTTCCAACATCAAGTCCTCTACAGATCCTTTCAGTGTAGCAAACAGAGAAGGAAACATCCCCCCAAAAACAAAGTACTTAATTTCAACATGCAAGCCAAGTAAATGTGACAGGCTTCCATTTGGCTCCGTTTTTCCTGTGAACTCTCAAACTATTTCATAAATAGGCACATGCTGAAAAATGTCTGGCTAAGTTAGAATATCAGCACTACCTTTAATAAATCAGGGATTCGTCTGATACAATAGTTCATGTGTCTTGAGTAATTAGTTACAATAGGTACATTTATACTGCGGCGCGAGTGCTTTTGAAACCCCAACTGACGTTAGAATGTGACTACAGGCAGCATGTGCGTCATTAGCTCCAATGTGTCATGGACTGTGTGTAGTGATGCCCTAGCACCTGTCAAGTCATCAATAATTAAATTAACAACCAATACAGACAACGCACCAAATCATTACAGCAATACTGTTCCTATAACTGAGACACTAGCAAATGTGAAAAATCAGTCAAGGTCACAATCAGTTGGATCAAAAATCAATGCAGTCACAAAAATGAAGACATGATCAGAATATACAGCATTTGTCAGAGAGAAGGTCTGATCTGGGCTGTTGTTATCATTGATTGATGTCTGATTGATGGGGCTCCGACTGGCTTATAAGCTCAATAACTCAGAGCTATGATCCTGATATGCAAAAGCAGCAGCACAAAAAAGTGCGAGTGTTGCTTTGTGTCGTACGCCCACTCTCACAGCCAGTCACAGCCAGTCTTCAGAATCATGTGCAGCGAGTCACGACACCTTTCTTCAGCTTTATGAAATGGATTCCACCATCACCGCTTCCTCCAGTCACACTGTAGCTCATGCACTCCCACATCCCACATGCTCCCTCACGCATGGGTACATCTGTGCAGCTCTACGGGGTGGCTGTTTTGTGTGTCGCCGTGCTAAAAAACACAGGGATTTTCCACATCCCTGTCGAACACGACCCCCTCCTTCACTGATGCTCCCATCGATGCAACACACTCAAAATAGTGAATAATTCTGCAATTCTAAGCTAATGGTGGCATATATTATGTTAGTATTAGGGAAAGAAGATATGCAAGGGTAAGAAAATATAATCCACCTATTTCATATACCTGAATATCAAGGACACAAAAAAATATCCCTACTTAGTCCGGTGACGTATGTTATGATCAAATATGGCATGGAAAATTTGGACATGCAGTAAAGAAAGTCTTCAGGTAAGAAAAGCAACTGTGATTTCAGAGAAATTTGGAGTTGCTCAAAATTGTGAAGGTGACAAACGTTGCGTCTCGGATCCTTTGGATGACGTAGGCGGGCTGTGTGTTGGCAGGAAGTGCTTCCTTATATGGCTCGAGAAGGACGAGATTCCCCCTGTAAGCGCATTAATATGCGCGACCACGCAGACAACCGCTCAGCCCACCCTGCAGCACCCACGCTCACTATGAAGCCGGGGAAGACTTGAATCTCCTGCTGAACACAGTGCAGGCAGGCCGACGTGTTAGGAAGCTCAAATCAAAAAGAAATCAATACAATAGAAAACAAGCACGATTATTGCTATCTTGATTTTGTTCATTCTCACCATTTAAAGCTTAACACATGCGTATGCTCATGACTCACATTCTAAAATAGTTTAGGGTTATTATTTAATCAACCTCATCATTTAAATGGTATTCACCTTTTGTGTGTGTGTGTGTTTGTTTTCTTTAACAACACGTATACTCAAGTCTAAGATGAATTTTGAGGCATCAACACAAATGACAAGAATACAAATAATGATAAACTAACTAACGTGAATGCCGTATCTCTGTTTTAGCGATGCCGGCACACTTCTGTCCTTGTCCTTTCATTCAGGTCGTGGAGTCAAACCACAGAATATTGTTGCTCCCCCCGTGACTCATTCTGATGCGCTTCAGCACCGTGGACAGCGCCGGCCCTGAGCCCCGCGGCTCCACCCCTCTGAGCCCCGCCCAACCCCAACTAACCAAAACACCATCGTCTCAATCAACCGGGCGCCCGGGTCTTAATTGAGACCGTATGTGTGTGTCTGTGTGGGGTGGAGGGGAAGCGGTTTGTCGGTGGTCATTTACAAGAAATGAGAGCGAGAGTAAACCGCAGTGGGAGGGGCCACAGAGTTGCCGCATTTTTCTGAATGAAATTACTCCCCGTGCACCCCCTCCCTCCACTCTCCGCGCGTCCTCGATGCCGGTGGCTCATTGGTCGACCGCACCAGTCGATGACGTCAGACAGGCTCTCTTGTGGATGAGTCCGCGCGCAGGAGCACCCATTCTGCCTCCCATGAGCGCTTCGGAGGGACTGAAGAAAAGGAGATGCAAGAGACGCCAAGTGAGAATTTGGGGTTACTTTGATGAAGACAGGAGCGCGTGCCGCACAAAAGGACTCTCGTCTTAATTAGACTGGCACCGAGCATCACCACGACGGCATCACCACATCTCCATCATTTGGCTTGGATCTTGAAAGAGGAGAGAGCGAATCTGTTGCAAGGTAAGATGCATGATCTATCATGTAGCCTATAGCACGTGTCCATGCGATATGTGTGCATGTGCGGGGGACATCCTCTGTGGCGCAATGAACCTGCAAGTGTATTATACAACATGGTCTTCCGCACGGGGGATTGGGATTTTCCTCCTGCGCCTCTGGACGGAAGACCCCGAATAGCTTTAAAAAATACAATCTTTTAACAATCCAAAATAAATGATCTTAAAATATAATTTATCCTTTAGTTATCCTGTGGAATTTCCTTTCAGCTGGCGTACAGTACAGATCGACATGTGCTAAAGAACAAGCAGATACCATACCAGAGAGCACGGGCGTCTTAATCTGTAACCGAGATTCTTTAAATAGCCCAATGAACAGCACGAGCTCTCTCAATAATGAAGCATGCATAGAATCTGTCCGAGGTTTGCACATGCCTGTAGTTGAACATCATGTTTGCACATTAGAGTGCAGCCTCGCTAACTGCATCTGAAAGTGTGTTTACAGATTCAATTTGACCCATCATAACATCATGAAAAGATATTTAAGATGTTTGATGCTTCTGGAAAGTGTAAAAAAAGTAAAATTTGGATGCCAGTAACTCGGATCCAGAGTAAATTAAAAAACAAACAAGAAAATGATTAATAGCAGTCATGCGTTCATGTTTCGGGAACGTTCAGATCATCCTTCATATTGATTCATGTGATTTCCGTGACGTCAATGACATGTCAGGAGCGAGAAGGCTATAAGATGCTGTATATGAGATTATGAGAAACATGAGCATTTTTACTGGCAAAAGTTAAGAAAAAAAATGAAGTACAGATGGTTCATTATAATGATGCTGATAATCTGATTGTGTTCTGTAAGTGCATATTTTGAATTACAGTGTAAAGGATAGCTATTATTATTATTATTATTATTATTATTATTATTATCCCACTCATAATTAAAACGCAACCAGGGACAAGATGGGTTTGGGCTAGAAATCGGAAATAGAAAAATATGGAGCATATTAGATGTATTTTTTTAAATCGCTCTGTATGATAATTTATAAAACAAACAAGACAAAATAACTAAGGGCAAGATATTTCAGTGCAGGGAAATCTTATACTCTTTAATGGTTTGATAATCGATTTCTATAAAGCTCAACTGCTTTAGATTACAAGAGTGTGACATCTTAAACTCTTCAATACCCCATTAAACCCTCTTCTGCTCTGCCGGCCTCCAGTAGCTCCACAGACATACACCACAGCTTCTGGTCGAGGAAAGGCTGTTTAAATGACAAATGAGGAAGATACTGATCCGTTAGAGTTGATGCCAACAATCTTTTTTTTCCTCTCTTAGGTTGTCTGTGTGACTGCTGAAAAGCCATGATCCTGAATGCCTCTGACTTAGGCTGGGATGAGTCCTCGGGTGCAGACCCCTTCTCCCCTCTGGACCAACTGGACAGCTCATCTACTTATGAAGTCCCACCCCTCACGGTGTGGGGCGTGGCCCTGTGTGTGTCAGGAACTCTCATTGCCACAGAAAACGCAGTCGTGGTCACCACCATCTTGGCTACCCCGTCTCTACGTGCGCCCGTTTTCCTGCTGCTTGCCAGCCTCGGATTGGCAGATCTGCTGGCAGGTGTTGCTCTGATCTTGCACTTCCTCTTCCTGTTCTGTGTTGAGCCCAGTGATTGGTCAGAATTGCTGACCTCAGGACTGCTGGTGACATCGCTGACTGCCTCGCTCTGTAGCCTGATGGGTGTCGCTTTGGACCGCTACCTGTCGCTAAGTCACGCCCTCACCTACGGCTCCAGCGAATCTCGTCACCGAGCCGCTATCCTCCTGCTGCTGGTCTGGTTGGGCGCATGTTTCATCGGGGCGGGACCTGCAATGGGATGGCACTGCCTAGGACAGCCAAACACCTGTTCTGTGGCGCGACCTCTGACCCGGACTTACCTATCGTTGCTGTGTGGTGGCTTCCTGGTAGTTGTCATGGTAACCCTGCAGTTGTACGCTGGGATCTGTCGAGTGGCAAGGCGGCACGCCCACGCCATCGCTACCCAAAGACACTTCCTGCCCACCAACCACTCATATGCAAGCAAACACAGCAGTGGGAGGGGCTTCTCGCGGCTGATCGTGATTCTCAGTGTGTTTGTGGGGTGCTGGATGCCTTTCTCCCTGTGGGGGCTGCTAGGAGATGCATCCAGCCCTCCCCTGTACACCTACGCCACCTTGTTGCCGGCGGCAGGCAGCTCGCTGCTGAACCCGATACTCTACAGTCTGAGAAACAAAGACATTCGTAAGGTCCTGCTCCAGGCCTGTTGCCCGCATAGATGCTCTCAAAACCCACAAATACACTACCCTGTTGACGTGTAGACTGCCAAACCTCGCCAGACTCAAACCACCACATAGATCTATGCCAGACATATCACTGTTTGTGTGCCAAGATAAACACACCGCTGCATTGACTATCATCCAGATCCAGAACATGAAGTCTCCCACACATGCAAGAAGCTCTTCTGCGGGAGATGAAGTCCGTCTGCTAATCAGAATGTTCTGCACTGTCCTGGCAAGTAGCCATTTTGGGACTAAATGTACTGTCTTGTGTGTACTTTGTGCCTCATTATCAGTCAATTGTAGCTCCACTGGATCCCCGGACTGAAACAATCACAGGGATGCTCTATACAGCCCCACTCAGAGAAAGTGGATTCAATCACCATTGGCACTTTATTGAGGAGAGGAAAGGACGGGCTTTAAATGTAAGCTTATCAGAGTGTAATGAATTGTGATCCAAAGCCCAATTGTATTTACTTGAATGGCAAAACCACAATGTTCTAGATTTTTGAGATTCTATTTTGCACATGCTGTTGAAGGCCGTTTGAAGGTACTGACCATAGGTTCAGTTTGCACAGCCTTTTTGAAATGAATGAATATTTTATATTGATGAATAATAAATATGCTTTTTTTTCTCTACTGGCCGACGTCAGCACTCTTCTTCTTGCTGCTGAGGCTTTTAGTACGTTTGCCTTTATCTCTCGGTCTCTAACTGGATTAGGCACAGGCCGCTGCTTTCCTGATTTCTATTCCTGTATCCTAAATTATTTGGTGTGTTACCATCACCCTGCATCCACCACGTTCTTTTAAAACCCACAAAGAAGTCTTCCTGTGAGGATAACTTGATTATGTAAACGGTTTTTCTCATTGCCTACTCAATTTCTCGACTTTAATCCAATTGATTCATTTTCTCACTCCCTACACAGTTGGCAGCGTTCCACCACTGATACTCTTCGTATCATGACTCACGGGTAAACTGAGGAGTCTTTTGCCAAGGCTTTAAATTCTCAGGATCCTTGTTATTCAATACATCACAACATTCATTCTCACCAGAAAGAAATCTAAACAATTACTCCGTAATTCCCTCTCTTTATTGGAATAACAATAATCATATGCAAATTTAAGGCAGGAGAAGCTTTGGCAAGACATGCTGTGTGTTTGTGCTTTAACACAGGCACATTTAAAATAAAAAAGGCACTTAAGAAATATGAAGTCCACACTAAACATCAGTCAGTTCCACATTTGACTGGTGATATTTTTGGAAGAAGCTGATCCGTTGCCAGTGTGGATGCCCAAAATAAACCATCATTGACAGCTAAATGCAGTATTAAAAAAGGCACTAATTGGGCAGCAGGAGAAACGCTGCCTCCGTCTCCACAGAAAAGTAAACAAAGATTTGATCCCCACAAAAACTTCAAAAGAAAATCTGCAGAAAAGGAATTGCGTAACGAAGGTCAACGACAAGACAAAATTAATCACGTTTGTGTCACATGTCTACATGCGTTGAGGATGGTGATCGCGTCGAACACCCCAGGTGTTTGCCATGAGCCATCGCTCCCCCCGTTACGCTGAATAATTAATACATGAAGGTTTCTGAACTACAAACACGTTCCATCCCGTGTGAATTGTTCTCATGACAACCACAGAAAGAAAGAATACCAGAGTGAAGAAAGGAGAAGTAATTAACAAAGTGGTGCTTTAAAAAGGGATATGAAAGGATTGCATAATTATCTTTAGATATGATTCAATGTTACATAAAATTTACATTTAATTCATCACATAATCGGAGTGGGAATGTTTTGACGTCAACGCTTTGTGTCTTCCTATTGAGCACATTCAGGTGTACTGTATCTCTTTTATCTTTCGCCAGAAAATACTGAAGCCGATCAAATCAGAAATCTAGACAACAACCAAATTACAGCGCTGTGTCATTCAATGGGGGGAAATGGGGACACAGCCAGGCACACTCACACTCCAATTTGGACGTTATCGAAATAATGTTGGATAAATAAAAACAAATGGTTCAGGGAATGTGATTAGTAACAGGTCACTTGCACTCTGACACACAGAGAGCGGGGACCTTTGCTTCACTGGTACTTGAGGGGATTGGAATGGAAACACAAAGCTGTTGTTAAAGGCTGAGGAAAAGTACAGAGGTGGTTGTCAAGCTGAAAAGGGAAGAACCATTAATCAGACCACTCTTCCTCGCCAAACTCGGAGGAGTCGTCCTCGCTGTCGCTGCACTCCACAGCGATGCGACGGGACAGGATGGCGGCCACATCATTGCCGATGTGATCCCTCTTCTCCTGCTCCCGCTGGGCCTCCGTTTTGCGCAGGTTGAAACCTAAAGGGCGTCAGTTACAGTGAGTGAGTGAGTATGTGTTGTACTTCATGACAGAAGGTACTGTATATTTCATACGTAAGCAGTGGTAGAATATGTCGTGTGACATTTAGGTGAAAAAGGTACCAGCCGGTAAATACAATCAAAGGTTCTACATTGAGAATTTTACTTAACCAAAACATTCTAACTATGAGTAAAGTGTACTTGAGTTTCTAGCCATTGGCAACACCATGGAGTGAGGTCTTTACAAAAGGGTAGCTGTAAGTGGATAGGAACCTCCCCCCGTCAGCAAACTTTGCTGAAGCTGCTAAATTTAGTGCCTCATTTCACCATTTTACATTTAGACTCACTACGTCATAGCTTGTGAGCCGACGCTTCAAAATGTATACAACGGAAAAGCTGATAAAGAGACGTGGTTGTGCATCTACGGAATCATCATCAAGTTTACATTTAGATAGGATTTTGGTGATTATGGACATTACGACCAACGTGCACGGGGAAGTTTGTGAAACATTGAGAAGTTAGACCAAGGAAGCGACTGAACAAAATCATTAAGGTTTTCAAAAATCCTCATCTGAGAATGATTAAGTAGTAAGAAGTAACTTCGACAGCTCCACAGATCCATTCCACATCTGTAAATTCCACATGTGTTTCGGGTGGTGTCTCAACTTGTCGGATGGACTGCAGCAGGTCACTGCGAGGATCATCGGCTGACTCTGGCTGAGCTTTTGGAGCAGAGCTAGCTTGGGTCGCCGTAACGGTGGGAGGAGGCTGGGCGGAGCGCTCAAAGGATGAGGGACCTGGGCCAGGGGGAGGTGGAGGAGGAGGAGGAGGAGGTGGACCACCCCGCTACAACCTGCAGGCATAGGTGGGGTGGAGGAGGAGGAATATTGGACATAGTAGGTGGAGGAGGGTGAGCAGTGGGGGAGGATAGGCAGACGGGGAGGAGGAGAACGGAGGAGGGGAAGGTGGCTGTCAAACGAAGGAGAGGCGGTGGAACCTCAAGCTCGGACTCGGTGTATGCGACGAGTGCAGCGGGACGGGCGAGTTGGAGCAGTATGGGAGGGGAGAGCTATGGGGGAGCAGGAGGAGGGTGGCTTGGACTCTTTGGGGTTGGAACTCCGTATCCTCCGTCACTATACCTAAAAAAGAGTTAAATATTGAGCTGAGGAGAAGTTAGGAGTCTTCATTTGCTCCAAGCAACCAATGTTTGTGCAGCTGCAATATCAGAAGCCTGTTTAAGAGACTGAAAGTGAATAGTTCTATAACCGTATTTTGCTGCTGTTGAACCCGATAATCTTAAGAGGATGGTGTTTAGGACTGCGGAGTATTGTACATTCAGCACATGAAGCAGAGGGCGGCAGCATGTGCCGGCTCGCATCCAAGATCCTACTTACGCAATGTCTGGAGGTGGAGGAGGCAGGAAGTCATCGGGGCCAGGAGGAGAGAGAGGAGAGCCAGGTTCATAAGCGTAGGAGCCGGTACTCATCTCGAGGCCTTCGGAAGTGAAGCCATCTCCAGATCCAATACTGCCATTTAGGCCCTCAGAAGAATTCCTTAAAACAAATTTAAAACATCACTTTCCGCCCAAAATAAGAGTTTGCATCTTGATTCTCTGAAACCTTGGCATCCGAAGTACGTTGTTGATAATGGGATCCACACAGCAGTTGTAGGTCATGTGCATTTTGCTCATTTGTTTACGAATAAAGAGCTCTTTCACTGGCAAAGTGTGGAGATTGTTTCACTCATTACGTCTGAGCAGTGATTGAGTTAAAAGAGAAGCAAGCGATCTAGATCAATACTTCTAACCAATACATTTAAAAACAGATTGTTGTTTATTGTCTTTTAATTTGATAAAAACGTGGAGACAAATAAATAACCCACAGCAGAAAAACCCTATGGCCTTCTGTGACTCGTGTGTTTGTTTACTGCAATTTGCCATTGAAGGCCAACTTCACACCCAACCCCCTGAGAACATCTTCAGACAGGACATACCAACCATACCACAGTGTACAGATTACTTGATAGGACAGGAGAGAGTGGAATTTTCCATGGGGGCCTTTAACTGTGTCGACATCAAACCATCCTTTTCTTGTTACTGGACAGCATAGACCCCCCCCCCTCCCCCCTCACGTCACAGACTCAACTTACATCAAATCATTCTTTGGGTCCACGAACTCCTCCCCCATCTTTCGGCGTTCCCATTCATCCTTCCGGGTTTTGATCTTTCGTGGATTGAGTGTCCGTTGGTTAAGATTGTCTTTCTTCTCCTTCTACTCAGAAAGGATAGAGAGAAAAAAGAGTCACATGGGGTTGGAATAGCTTATATTTAACAATGTCCACTTGTAACAGCTCTCATGTTACTTGTTTTGTGTGTGTACACTTTATTAAACCAAATTCTCTTTCGGCAACGTTTCAGTGACCATCGGCAGGACAGAATCAAAACAAGACAATAAGATAGAAACAAGCAGGACAAACATGAGAAGATGAATACTAAAAAGGCATTGCGCAACAAGCTACTCGTGAGAATGTTCATGTGCTTTACCCTGTGCTTGCGTCTCTCCTTCATGATGTCCTTGGTGTCCTGCAGCATCTTCTCCTTCCACAGATCAAAGAAGTAGGAGGGATCAGTGTAAAACTTCAGGGCCTCCTTCCCATCGTCCCTGTAATCAACAGTTTTAAGAACATTTGAGTCTCCGCTACACTTAGTGTCTTCTGTGGCAGTAAACCAACAAGCCATAATCAGACTTCCCCTTATAATTCCAATAAAAGACAGAATTCAAAAGGGGAACAAAAACGCTGTAAAGAAATGTCAAATCCACACAATGATCCCATTCAGACCTCTCACACAGATGGTCTTTGTAACAAAATTGTACAAACTTAAACCCTCACTCTGCTTATCTCGGATGACACCGCTGTGGTTACTGATTATGTAGACTTCACCCACAGCCCCCTTCCGTTCTGGTTTCTAATTAATCCTTCTTCCGATGACATGTAATGCCTAGTGCACAATTCATGTTGAAGATCTCGAGATGTGTGTCAGTTGGACTGTGACACATATGGTGGGGTTTTTCTTGATTTATATTACTTAGTAGTATGCTTAGCAGATGTATTAACATTTAATATAAAACAAGTCAAACTTGACTTGACTGTTTTTTATGAATTGTTTGCTTGACAAAATTGTCCTTCAAATCAACAAAATAAATGTACCTTTCACACGTTGACTAGATCTATTCTAGAAGACCTAATGAAGATTATATATATCTAAATAATAGTAATAGTCCACCTTCTTTTGACACCTACTCATTGATCCATATGGTCCATACAGGTGGATTTAAATAATCTATAGTAATGACATTTAATATAACATCTTCTTAGTATTCCATGCATTATATGTTCCAACAAATGAAGCCGAGCCATGGAGGTGTATCTGCGTGAGTCTGCTGAAGCCCTACCGGTATTGGCTGAGGTAGTTGAGTGGCGGTGGCGGATTGCAGGTCTTGTAGGTGTCCTGTACAGGCATTGGGAGAGATGGCCTGGTGAACAGCTGCTGGTCCTGGGTCAGACTGCTGCGGAAAGCCTTACGGGTAGTGATGGCCTGAAGGGAGACTGAGAGAGAAACAGGCCGATGAAATAGAGAGAATGTTATTGAATATTCATTGCGCTGAAGAGAAGGCTGTTATATTAATATGGAAGCTGAATGGGTCAATGCAAAAATCGGTATATTCCACTATGTGCTATATTTAGCCACATTCAGTGATAGTAACAGCAACATTCAGGAGTACTTACCCTCCTCTTCTTTTGGGTCCAGCTGGGTGACTTTAACCTGCAGGCGATCCACTCGATCTCCCAGTGTATTAACTCTCAGCGAAAAGGCTTTAGCCTGGACGAACAGCTCCCCAAATACATCCTCTGCATATTTGCCTACGCACACACATCATTCCCAGATTAGCGCATTTGTCCCGTGCGTCTTCAAAAATCCGTTCCAATAAAACCTTTCATAAGAACGCACAATTTTTGCCACGTGTCAAAAAACATTTAACTCACATGTTATGACACCTCAACACAAACACTTACTGAGGCTGCCGAGCTGACGGATGATGTTGGCCAGGGTTATATTAGTGACACATTCCAGTTCACTGCGAATGTTGGCAGGGATGGTCTGGCGACACACATGCCGTGGCTCTATGTTCCTCGTAACCAGAGGCATGGTGGGACGTTGTGGGCAGAGGTGCCCAACCCTGATGAAGAAGAGAAGGTGAATTAGGCTTAAGACGTGCAACATAAAAGGGATTGAATAGGCAGCACTGAAGCTTTGATACTTACAAATCAAAATCAGAAACTGTTGAGTCTTCAATTAGCCTACTGGCAAATATTCAATAAGAATATTTAACAGTTTTAAACCTTGGGTTTATAAGAATAAGACAATCATCGCATTGGTCAACAAACGATCTGATGCGAAAACATTTGTTACACCAAATGAGTCACGTGATCAAGACACGCGTGTATAAATAAACCCTACCAGACAGCCAAAAGCAGAAGCAAAACTAAAACGTGTGACTTTCAATCTACATCCATCCCTTTTAAGCAAGACCAGAATATATACATATTTAGTAGAATGGCTTCTGAAAAAAACTAGTTAATTCTGCCGGTTAACTGTTGTACAAAACGCATGAGACGCACTCATGAATGCTCCATATAAGGTTATTTTTCTGTAGATGGAAGTTTGTCCACGTCAAGATGCAACAATGGAGCCTAATACAATCGAGAGGTAACGATTTTTGCACAATTATGCTCACAGAAATGTGAATATTTCCAAAACAAATTGGATAGATAGTGACAAAGTAAACTCAACATATAATAGTGAAGTAACGTATATATGCAGATGACAACTCGCATACATGCAGTGACTGGACATCCTCCAGGCAGCATTGTCTAATTACAAGCTTTTTCACGTTAACGTTGGAGCTTAACATAATGGTGAGGTCGTGTACGAGTGTCATGACTAGGTGGTTTTCAATTCTGCATTTTCTTTGAGTTCACATGTCAACGAGCCTAATGTTTTTTTTTTTTTATTTTATTGAAAGGGGGAAGAACTAACAGCTGAACCCAGTTGACTCGAGTTCCGCTGTGTGTGGTTAAGAGATATGAGCAGTGACGTACAGTCAACCCTTCTCTGTCACACGGGCACCCTGAATGGTTTATGTTTCGCTAATAAGCTAACTCTCTGGGCTACACACACAAAAAAACTGTACACAACAGTGGGAAACGCTACACGCTAACATACAGCTTAGCTCAAATGGGCTAAAATGTGACATGGGATCTCGGCCTTGTCGGAGCAGGAAGTAACTTGTCGGCGCCTCCAGTATCGAAGGAACAGACACACGAACGTGTAATTTCGCCCTTTACTTTATGAATATAACACAGACTACGTCTATTTACTTACCGTAAAAACTGAAAGCCGTTGTATCTCTCTTACATGTACAGTCTGGGTGTTATCTCCTGTCAAGCTTTCCACCAGAAACGTTCGGCGGTACAGTACACAGAGAAGCCAAACAGATTGACCACGTCCCGGGATTGCGAACTTCTGATTGGTCGACGTGCTGACTTCCTCGCAGCTGATTGGATACTGCGCTTGTCACCTAATTTGGCCAAAAACAGGATGTGGAAGTTTCAACGCAAATAGCGCAGCTCCGCCCTGACTAGTGGCAGACGTCTGTCCGTAATTTGCGTAACGTAGGGTGGAGGCAGAAGCACATTCTTGCGTGCGCTCTAGCGAGTTGGAACGCGTCCGAGAAATGACTGGCATTGAGCTTCATGCATTAAAGCTCACTGTTGAGAAAAGCACTTATGAAGACAAATGGCGGCCCGGTGAGCCTTCCTTGGTCAGAGTAAAGTGCATCCTTCAACCTCAACTCAGCCCATCTAAACTGGAAGTACATACGATTTATGGTGGCAGAGGCAAAGTGGCAAACCAGTAAAGATTAAACAATCATCCGAGAAAAGGGAAGTCGTGGTTCATGGTAGGAATGACACAGTTTTGTACGCGGCCTATGGAGAGAGGAAATTACATACTTGGCTTATCAAACTTCTTTTGATCAACATAGATGTTACAACATTGAAGAACATTGTTTCTGCCAGAAGTCACAAATGGCATTGTAATGTATATATTATATTGAGACCCCAAACTGGGAAATGTTACCCATATTTTTATGAAATTACAACCTTTTGTTGCCACGGTTGACCGGGATTCCCCAAGAAAAGAGAAAATGGTAGTGAAGGATTTCTGGCTTTATTATGTGTTTCATTGTGTCAACAAAGCATGTTTATTTTTTTCTTTCACATAGGCACTAATATGCTCACTTAAATTAAATACACTCTTCAATGTAAAGAATGATTGCACATTAGAGCATTTTAGGCCTATAAGAGATACACAATACATTAAATAATCTGCTGAATCTACACTCAAAGTTCAGCTGGATCACATCAATCCAAAAAGGACCCCATTGTATGATGCAATATATTATACTGATAAAGTCATAAAAAACCCTGAAAATGTGTTGCTACCTGCCAGACAGCTCTTCAATCTTTCAAACAACAGTATTTCGTCTTAAAGTGGAGTCACACAAAGGCAGAACTTCTGCTTCTTGTTTCAGGCCATAAATGTTTGACCATGGGTGTACACTTGAGCTCAGTCATGTGTCGTCACCCTGTGTTGACCCAACTGAGTATGTAGGAGCTGTGTGTATTTGCTACAGTCTGTTTGAGGACGTTGTGCCCCTCTCCTGCAGAGCTGTGGACCAGCTTGAGTCCAGAAGCTTGGAGACCCCACAGGACACTGAACCAATAGCGCAGCACTTCCTCATTGGTTCCGCCCACCTCGAACCCTGCCCATTGCAGATGAATCCGGACAACCAGATGATGAACGCTCTGCAGAGTTCCCGACTCGATCCAGTTCTGGAAAATTCGCCACTCAGCACTTAGCAGGTCTGCATACAGGAAATGAACCTAAAGAGGATACAGAACATAGGGAAAAAACGAGACATTAAATATTGTTCTGTAACACTGCACACACATGTATTCAAAATAAACATGATAAATTGTGTCTTGCAAATTCGTTTTTAACTTTCCATATGAGGCTAATCCTTTAAATAACCTCCAGGTGCCCACAGTATTGCCCAATTAATTGGTTATCCAATTAACCAACGAATTAACCAAAACTATGAATACTTAATACTTAATAACAGCACATAAGAAAAAATAACTAAATAATAACTCCAAATTAATAGCTCCCAGAAACATGTGATTTTTTAATGTTATTGAAACAGCTTTCCATTGCATCCTTCTTGCTTTGGAATCAACGACATAATCAGTTAATCCAAAAACTTGAAAATGTCATTAATCAAAGTCTTTAACCACTTTGTATAGTCAAACAATACTCAAACTGTAAGAACGTGGGTCCCTCTTGTGGCTGCAGGATGTAATTGGGCCAATGTGTGATTCACTTACTTGAGTTGTTGCCATGGCAGCCAGGGATGGCGCAGAGCCCTGTTGCTATGGGAACATTCAAGTAAGACAGCTTTCTGGGCATATTGGGGTGAAAAGACTCTAAAGTATGTTCGTTTGGCACTCTTTTTCCATATGTCTGTGTGTGTGTGTGTCTTACTGTGTGATGTCCCAGAGATGCCATGATGTCTGCCAGTGTTTGAGAAACACTACCCAGGTTGCTTCTTGTCCCCGGCTTGCGCTTCCTTGGGGCTCGCCACTCCAGCCACATCTTGTGCTGGCTGACACTGACCACGCCTCCATCACCATGGTTGCTGGCCAAACTGTTGCCACGGTAACCACCAGATGCACGGGAGCTGCTGGGATCAAAACTGTGGACTTCACATCCCAGCCCTAACACAGTCTTAAGAAAATCGTCGTCCAACCCATCCATACTATAGAGAAAGCAAGAAAAACAACAAGAAGATAGACAGAGTGGCAAGGGAGAAAAAAGGGGGTTTGAAGATTATTGCATGCATGATTAAATATGCATTGCACTGTTTATTCCAATTCTGGCAGCAATATGAATGCATAATAATCACAGCCCATGTGCGGACGCATGGACATATTCTTCAGATATATGAGCATACCGAAAGGAGTATGCAACACACGGCGTATCTGCTGCTGGAAGGAGCCAGTCCTCAGCACACAGCAGCCAGTGGGGTGAATCAGCGGGGGCCTGGGCTGCCTGAGCCTCACCTGGAGACAAAACCCTGGAGCAGTTCAGCTGGAGATGTAGAAAGAGAGGAGAGGGTCACATGAGATAAGCTGTTCAGAGCAAGAGCTTGCCTGGTAAAATTTGTAGGAACATTTCAAAGAGTGAGCGAGCGGTCTCCTTGCATTAAGTAATGGAAGTTATTTTTTGGTAATTTATGTCAATTTAAGAGCAATCACAATTTATTTCAGGTATTGAATAATCAACACAGCGTACTTGGTTTAATAGGTTTTCTTCCCAGTCCCATAGCATCCAGTGTTACATAAGGGTGGCACTGAAAGTCCTTACTGGCTTCAGATTTTCCAGAAATTTGCTGGCAGGATGTTGACAGCGCCTGACTGATCATATTACTGCTATGTTAACCCCCGCACTGGGAGTCTGCAGTTGAAGAAGTGAAGTAGTTGGAAAAGTGAAGATTTTATTGATTATTTTTAAAGTTTGGCAGGTTTTAACTCTTGGCTACATTAGATCCGCAGCTGGCCAGAGTGTATTCTTAACGAGTACAGAGAGGGTTCAATGGTTGTGACCAGTGGTTCCCTACCTGGTGGTCGGGGCTCTCTTCCATTTGAACAAAATGCCGAAGTTTAACACAGTAAAAATACACCGCATATAGCAAATACAATTAGATTTGTCTAAATTGAGTTTAGATAGTGTTTATGATATTAGTGGGCTTTTAAAGTGCATTCACGAATGTCACACATTGAAAGCACTATTGTTGTTTAGATGATGTTCTGGGGAGCCCACCTGTGGCCTGGTAACATACGCGATGATACGATCGAGTTCTGCTGTGAAGGACGGTCCGTCTGCCGCCCACGGCTGCACCTCCAGTGTTTTGGATCCCATCTGGGAAGATGCACAGAATACATACCAATTTATTATATCAATATACATGAATATGAATGACACTAGTGTGCGTGTTTGAGTCCATTTTTCCTGCACCCTCCTGCCCCAGGTATAAATGCAGAGGAGGCAGGTCATAACCTCTGACCTCAGTCCGGCTGGTAACACATTTGCCTGAGGCATTGTAACATACAAACACACACACACACACACAAAGCCTCCCCCCCTCACACTGAACCCTGTGGTCACCATGGCAACCTGCGTAGGGAGTGTTTATGGGGTGGTGGACGGGGGGGATGATTCACTAGAATGAGTCAGAGAGTTTAGCTTTGGGCAGAAAAAGAGACCGAGAAAAAGAGAATAAAAGAGAGAGGGCGTGAGGAGTGAGGGAAACACGGGAAAGAGGGGACAGATGCACACACACACACAGATGAAGGGAAAAGGTCAGAACAGCTTTCACCTCTTTGTGATCAGGGGTCAGCGCTGTGCTCACCTCTGCTCTCACCTGCGCCACAAACTGATCCAGCGTAATGAATAAACGGAAACTACAGCAGCAGACTTTTTCGGGATCTGTATTCATAAACTGAGCATGTACAGTTTCCTCCCATTTACACTTATTGTTTTCATGTTTGCAATATAGCATTACATTAAGTGGTAGTTTAACCTAATATTCAATATTAAATCTTTTTTTTTTAATTTTCCAGCCAGAAGTCTGTTCATATCAATATCTGTTCTGTGGCAGTGTAAAACATTGAAATGAAATGTAATCTCTCGCGCTGTACCTGGCGCGAGTGCATCTCGTTCTCATCCTCATACGTGCGTGCGAGCTTCCTTCTCTCCCCATCCTCCTTCTCTCCCTCTCCCTCCTCCTCCTCCTCCTCCTCCTCCTCCCGCTCCTCCTCCTCCTCTAACCCCGGGCGGCGGGGCGGGAACCCCCGTTGACGTGGGCTCCTCTCCGGCTCGATGCTGATAACGGAGAAGGCCACCGCCTGCTCCTCCACCTCCTGCTCCTCCTGCGCCCCCGTGGCTCGTGGTGATCGCGGTCCGACGCCGAGCAGCTGGAGCGCGAGGAGAAACGGTGGGACGAGGAGAAGGATCCCCGGGAGCGGGACGCTACTACCGCGGCCGCACCGCCGCGCACAGCCCCGCATGCTTCCTGCGTGCAGATAACCGGGGGAGTCTCCGGGCCGGTGTTTCCCAGCTTCTTCTGCAGGGGAATGGAGGAAAGTCCCTGCTGAGAACACCCCTCCTCCCCGTTTCCCAGTCTCCTTATTCTCCTCCTTCTCAGTCTTCCCTTTCTTCTCAGCCCTCAGGGGGAAAGTTGCAATGACGAAGCACATTCCTCGGTCAAAGGTGGCCTTTTGGACACAGTGAATGCAGCTTTTCTTTGACCCACAGTTTCAATTTAACCTAAATGTTGGTTAAAAAAAACCCTACTGGGTTACACGTTCACATAACTCACATGAAATGAAAGGCCACACGCTAAAGTAAATAAATGCTAATGTAGATTCAGATTGGGAATGTTGTTGATAAGCGAAATGACTCTCACCAGTATCAGTGGTGAAATATTGCACAGCTTGACGTATTTGTTCATTAGGAGATTCACATTTTGCATATATATTTTACAAAATAAGGTACATGGTTGTAGACTATGACCCTGAAGTTGTGAAAATGTGCTCCCTCTGATGCATAACTAACTGGATGGAGGGGGGTTTGCTGTAATAACATTCTTAGGCCTGCTTTGAGTAGCTACATTTAGCTGATAATAGTTTTATTGAAATATATTTTGAATGCAGGATTTACTGGTGGAGCATCCCTATCTTACATGTTGATTTTTACTTGCAAAGTCAAAGATCTGAATTGTTTTACCCCTGATTGAGAAATAACATTACAGTATGTGAAGGCACATAACTTTCTAGGTATGGATTTTAATAAAATACTGCTATTATGTATAGTATCCTACAAAATAAAAGTCGGAAAGAGAGCTGTTGCACTGCACCTTCTTCCTTATAGCGTTGTGTGTTACCATCCACCATACAGTGGAATGTCAGCGCAAACACATTTCCTCTGGCCATGTCTAAGTCTATTTAGTCAGCCTGTTGACAAACTGTACACAATATGCAGCCAGTAAACTCCCCCATCTGCTTTCTTTCGCTCTCTCTCCCTCTCTCTGTCTGGTATGCACATGCAATCACACAAGCTGCAGATGTATAATATTTGCTCTACTATAGAACGTTTCCCACTGAGGACCCAAAATAAGTACAGGATCACATCCTGTCGGCTCTCTGCAACCAACAGCGTTTCACGCCATTTCCTTATTTGGAACCATTGATGAAATAGTACATGTTTGTATATTTTGTTTCCGTGGCTTTAGAACCTCTCCGACACTATTTTTTTGATTTCCTCAGTCTGGCTTCTTTTATTTCCCCTCCGAGACGTCCTCCCCTCCCCTCCGTTCATGCCTCTCCTCCCCACCCTTTCACTCCCTGTCGAATTGTGTCCTTAACTGAACTCTCTCGCTCACACTCCCAGACATCCTGGGCAAAGCCCAATACTCAGGGAGGTTGTATAAAACACATGCACACGCACGCACACCCCCTCTCACCTCCCACAGTCTCTTAAAGAAGCAGCATGCTATAGACCAATTACCAATGGCAAGAACAGAATGTGTATTTAAATATTTTGCACCTCAGATACGTACATGATATGTAACAGACAGATATACAATTTTTTTCATCACAAAAATCACCAAACAACACAAGACCACAGAAAAAAGAAGGGAGAGACTGAGAGAAAGAATGAGACCCCGCCAAGACTTTGGTGTCTGGGGAGCTTCACTCCTTTTGACCCCACAGGCACACGCACACACACACGCTCACGCAAACATAAATGCACACGTACACACAAGCACATGCATTACTGCAGTCACGCAAACACGTCCCCCTCTGTGTCACATTCGCACACAGAAAACGAGTCTCTTTGGGGCCATTGTGTGACTTCAATGTCTCTTTCCCTTGTAGTTAAAACATTAAAACACAGGATGTCGGGTCTCCGTGCCGCAGTCCGCTCTCCCCCAAGAGCAGAGAAACCACGGCAGAACGCTGAGAAGAGCATGTCGATGACGGACCCTCAAAATGAAGGGGGGGTGGGGGGGGGGGCTCTGGATTGGAGCTGATCATATGTACAGATGCTGGTATTTCAAGAACAGAAACTGGTTCAGTCCACTTTTCTCTCTTATGGGACACAACACAAGGAGCGCACAGAGCGGGGACATTTGCTAGGCTCATGGGTTTTAAAAAGTCGGTTCGGGGGTCAGATGCGGTTCACATTTGGAGTACAAGACAGAAATGCAGGGTTAGTGAAGGACGAGTGCAGAACACAGTTGCTGGTTTAGCAGAGGAGGGGAGGTTAACAGCAAACAGATGAAAGAAACAGAGAGAGATAGAAAGAGAGTTGTGTGATCATCCATATTGCAGATGTACAGAACAGGAGCAGAAGGACTTGGTGGCATACAGACTTCAGGGGAACCGAGTCCTTTATGTATCACAGCAGGACTTGAAGGGGCGAGGAAATAGTTTTTGTTTCTGTCCATCAGCGTCTGGTATTCATCTCCCAGCTCCTCTTGCCATGCCCTCATTCCAGCAGAGAGTGCGAGTGAGTTTTCACATGTAGGATTTTAGGTGTCCATGTATAGGTAGTTCATTAATCTGCACATGCGTGTGTGTATGTGTGTGTGCGTGTTGGTGTGTGCATGCTTGGGTGTTTAGATTGCGGTTGATATTGATTGTCAATGCTGGAGAATTAAAGCTTTACTATCCAAAGCTGGCAGCTAAATTCTCACCCTTCATTTCACAAACTCTACACAAAGAAGTCTCCTTAACAAAACAAGGAAAGGCTGTAAAAGCTTGGATTGAGTGCACCTGAAAGAAACAAACAGAGGGAGAGAGAAAGAGGTGAAGGGACATTACACATAATCTTTATTACAGTTGTCAAAAAGCATTCAATGAATTGAAACTAGTCTCTCAAATTATTCTTGACTTTAAGTGAAGCCATTTGTTCAAATGTTTGCTTTGCACTGTCGTGATGGTGCAGCTGAACTTTTTTATTGAGTCATATATTTGTATTATGACTTGAATATAAATAAAAACTCATCCATCTACAACATCAAAAAAAGAACAACATTTCAAACATTTATAATAATGGTTAGTATCCTTAATCATTAATGAATCCTTGAACTGTTTTTAAAAACAAAAGTATGGTCTTCCGCAGTAATCAGACCCTTCTCTTAACATTTCTACAAGAAGTCTAATGGGTTCGTAATCTAGATCTGGGATGGCCTAACTGTTTTTGGCAAAGTGAAATAAACTCACCTGCTGTTACAGGCTGGTGACGCTGAAGCTGTCGTCATTGGCCGTGTCCAGGAGCTGGCACAGCACCCCGCCCCCCTGACCCGCTTGGGAGGGGTAGCGGTGTCCAATGCCCTGGTAGGATTGGTGGGACAGGGAGTAGCCGCCGGGGTCCTCCTTATGGGGCGAGGAGTCTAGGGGTGGTTTGGGGAATGGGGAGTGAGGCAAGAGGCCTTGGCGGTGGCCTGTGCTCATGGCGTGGGGGGTCAGATCCCGCTTGTGGGGGGGCAAGGTCGACGGAGGGCTGCACTCCTCATAAAGCGCAGGCGTTGAGTGGGAGTGGAGGCTGGTACTGGGGTTGCTGTGCGCGTGGGTGGCCAGGTGAGAGTTGGGGTTGCCGTGTGCGTGGTTGCCGCTGTGGGGCTGATTGTTGGTGTGGGGGCTGGAGTGGGAGAGCGGGTTGCTCTGGAGCAGTGAGGTGGGGTGGGTGTTGCCGTGGGACTGCGTGTTGTGATGGTGTGCGTCGTGTAGGGTCGATATCATGTGTGCGTGTGCATTCACATTTGGACTGGCGAGCTGATTTCCGTGCGTGTTTCCATGAGGACTTGCGTGCGGATTGCTGTGTGTGTGCGCGCCTGTGTTTGAGTGTGTGTTGTGCGTGTGCGGGCTGGGGCTGCCGCTGTGCGATGTCTGTCCGTACCAATAGGGGGAGCTGCAGTAGCTGGGAGAGTCATACTGTGAGAACTGTGGGTCTTTCAGAGGGGGGCGATGGGAGGGACTCAGTGCTGTGGCGCAGAGGGGTGTTATCCGTGGTGAGGGAGAGCAGGATGGGGAGAATGTCCTGGAGGGGACTGGGTGGTAAGACTGGGGTGGAGGAGGGGTGGGCTTCGGAGGGTATGGGGGAGATGAGACACTGGGTGAGAGGGAGGAGGAGGATTCTCCAGGGTATAAGGCTGGATATCGCTCCTCAGAGGAAGGTGTGGAGGGGTGGGCAGAATAAGGGGAGGGGTACTCGCAGGGGTCCTGGAGGTAGCTGGAAGGTGGTGCAGGATTGGGAGTGGCCAGGGGAGAGAGGCTACTACTGTCGCCACTGTAATAGTCCAGCCCCTCTTGGGAAAAGCCCAGACCCCTCTGGACCTCCAGCAGTCACTGCTCCAGATGTAGAGGGAGCCTTGCCCCTGCCTTTGGCCCCTGAAGGGCGCTCTCTTTGACACGGAGACAAACCCCCTCTGCCTCCTCTTGACCCTCTGCCCCGTCCTCCAACGCCTCCCCGCTTAGGTCCAGGAGCAGGCGTCGGTGAGGGACTGGATGGGGAGTCAGAGTATAAAGTAGAACCTCCTTCTTTTTCCACTTGTGGCTCAGTCCGTTTCCTTCGACCCCGACCGGGTTTGCTGGTTCCCCCGCCCTGGAAGAGGACGTTCTGGCTCCAGTTATACGAGGGGCCAGAAGCACTCTCGTGCCAATCCATCATCAGCTTCTCCAGGCTGGACAGACTTGATTGACCCACCTCTCCGCTAATGGAAGCAACCTCGCTCAGTTTGTATGTGCCACATGTTGAACTAGGTCCACTACCAGTGGCTGCAGAGCCGAGGTGTGAGGAGTCAGAGGAGGATTCTGATAGACTTTCAGGAAAAGGTTGACGCTTGGCCTTTTGGGGGGTGTAGTTTGAGATATCCAAGATGTCTTTGGACTCATGGGAGCCATACTCACTGTAGCCGTGATATGGAGGCCCAAAGCTGTCCATCGACCAGCCCCCGTAGCCTTGTCTGAAAAAATAAATAGAAATATAGCAATAGAAATTATGAAATGCACTTGAGGAAAATGTGAGTATGTGTGCAGATATTTAGATTTCCACTGCTCTTTGTTTCAGTTTCATCAGAGAGGAAAGAGGTAACATAAAGAGGAAACTGTTGATGTATGTTCTGACAAGAGATTAATAGCTGGATAAACACAGAGTATGTTTTAGTTCTGAGTTCTCCAGTGTCAGGTTTTGACTATAATATGCTTATATGGTGGACTTTGAATTGAAAATAATATATGCATGAGTGAAACATTTATATTGAGTAATACACACATCTTTGATCCTAATGTGTCCTAAAATCCTAAAATGTAATACTAAGAAAACTCAGAATCCCTTATTTAATAAAAACTATGTCAAGTTGAAATATGTGTGAATAGGCCACTTGGAGATTTCTTCTTTACCATGTCGGGATGCACAAGGGATTTACCTGTTGCTCCACTGATTGGTGTTGTACTGTTTGTAACCTTCTGGAGAGGAGCTGAAGGGGCTACTTTTGGCCACAGACATGTATCCTCCTCCTGGGGACGTGGGTCCTGTTGACTCCCCCCGCAGCATGGAGGAATGAGCTGCAGCAGGATATCCACTATAGCCTCGCCTAGCTGCTGACTGGTAGCTAGAATAACCTATTTGACCAACAGTGGGGGCCTTGCCACTGCTGTGTCCGGATCCATATGCAAAGCTGCAATCTGAGGATCGCTGTGGCACTGCAGGAGACGATGAGCAGTAGCCTGATGAGTAATGGCCAAAGGAGGCGGGATGTGGGGAGCTAGGAGAGTGTGAGAGAGCTGGAGGAGTGGATTTGGGATAAGTAGAAGTGGTGGGGGATGTTTGGGCCAGGCTGCTATAGCTGAATGGAGGCCTGGCTGAGGAGCAATGTGTCTGGGATGAACCCTCTCCCCCAGAACTCGCACCCTTGGAACTCCACTTGGAGAACGCAGTGGACCAGCCGTGACCTGCAGCTGGACTGGATGGCTCATAACCGGGCGTGGATGAAGCTTTTTGGGGGTCTGACTGCGAGGAGCCAATGTCCATCAGGTCTGATGAATCATCTGAGTCGAGGAGTGACCGGAAATATCCGGCAAACAGGCCTTGTGAGTCCTCCCCGGCTGGCCCAGCCCCTCTGCTCCCCCGTGAACTGCTGTACGCACCTCCCCTTCCAACTTCGCAGGAGGAAAAGCCTCCTCTTGAAGATCCACAGAGCTGATAGCCAGCCAAACCTTTCTCCTTGTCTATACCCCCCTCCCCCCAGCCACCTGCCCCGTTGGGCCACTCCTGACCGATGGACATCCCCATCCCTTTCAATGCACCATTTTTTCTGACACGTCTCTTCTTGACTATTTTCTCACCCCCAGGCTCAGTCCCAACGACTCCCCCTCCCCTACCACCCGCACCCTTTCCCCTTTTCCGGGGTAATCCATGCTCCGTCAAGGGGCTCGGTTTCTGCTTCTTGCCAATGGATTCAAAGAAGTCACTGAATGTGCTCTTATTGCGCTCATTGCCCCCAATCCCCCCTGCTCCTGCTCCCCCTCTTCCAGCGCCCCCTCCTCTCCCACCCCGAGGGCGTCGATACCCAGTGAGCCGGTGGAGCAGGGTGGATATTCCCAGGGTTTTCCAACGGGGTATGAAAGCTTTCAGGCTCACTGGGTGTCCAGCAGCGAGGGGGAGAGCAACGGCCGGTGGCCGGAGGTTGGCGGTTTAAAAAGGCCAATTTGGACAGAACATCCCCGTACTCTGTTTTCACATCATTAGTATCATTGACATATGACGGATAAGGGCAAGGGAGTTTAGCACGCCGCCGCCTTTGTGGCTTCTTGGGCTGGTCTCCATTGCCACCAGCATTTGCTGCATTTGGAAGCTCTCCCTGTATACCTGGCAAAGCCTGTTTGGGTGGTCGTCCCCGCCTGCGTTTGAGAATAACCGGTAGTTCTCCAGGAGGGAACATCACCATTACACTCTTTCCGTTGTTCTTCATTCGAAGAAGCGCCGTTGGCTCTCGAGCGACCTCCGAGCTCTCCATCCCGCCATCATTGCCTTTGTCTGTCCCTGTAACTGTCTCCAAATTAGAAATTTTGTAGCTTTTCTGTCGCCGGCTGAGGCTGACAGGAATGCGAGCCACTTTGACGACAATTTTCCTCACCTGTAAAGCAGAAAAAAGCATGAGACGTATGTTAAGTATTAAGAAAGATTAAGAAAGATGTTAAGTATATATAACTTAACTTACACCAACAAAACGTCCACGTCTCCGGTTTTTGGAAAGGGATGACCCCTCAGCAACAGGCTCCTGTTTCGAAGTTAAAGGTGCAGTGATGGTCGTCGTGTTTGCAAAAGGGAGCTGAGGGGTTGCACAATGAGCCATAGACCGTGCTGCCTGACGCTGTTTCACACTTTTAGGAGCTGCTTTATGGACAGCTTTAGGTGCAGGCCTGGACCTGGATTTGGGTCCAGGTTTATGCCCAAGCCTGGGCCCGGGTTTAGGCATAGCTTTAGGTGTAGGTTTGGGTACAGTTAGAGCCAGAGCGATCTCTGTAGGGCAAGTAGCAACGGGGAGAACGGCCTCCACAGAGGAATGCTCCTCTTTCTCTCCAACGGCAACCTCCTCCTCTTTAACCCTCCAGATCCGCTCCTCCAAAATGTCATCTTCCTCCTCTACTCCCCTGTCCCGTCCGGCTCTCTTCTCCCCATCCTCTAAGCTTCGGCGGAGGCGGGAGGATTTGCGAAGGTGACAGGGAAAGCGGGGACGTCCAGAGCTGCGGAGCGCGTATTTCTTCTCTGCCTCAACAGGAGGGGGAGAACAGCCCGTGTTTGGGTTTGGACCAATTGGGACCGGACAAAAGGTTGAGGGGCTGTCTGTCTCTGCAGTGAGGACTGGTGCAACCCGCTGATTTGTGGAGGCAAGATCATTGGCAGGTTGAGGTGAGGTGGTGTGTACAGCCTCTGGTGAGATAGTCCTGGAGCGTTCAGGTCCTACAGAACCCGTAGGAGGGTTGATTTCCATCTGTCCACAATTATCCAAATGTGCTTGCAAAACCGCCTGTGCGTGCACATCTGGGTCAACGTGTGTCTGCATGTCCCTAATTGTCTCTGCAAATGCGTGTTTCTCACCGGTAGTGGGAGTCTCCGTCTGCCTGCGCGGGCAGGTGCTGTGCCCCAGCCTTCTTTGTTGATGGAGGCCTTTGGCCAGGGCTGGAGGACAGAAGGGAAAGAGGTCGGAGGTCACTGGTGCCAGTCCATTTTCAGAGGGATCCTGGGACCCCTCCTGGAGCCCGAGTTCCCTGGTCCAGAGCTCGGGCCCTGTCGGCCGCTCCAGCTCCCCCACACACGCTTCTTCCTCTCCTTGAGTCCCACCACAGCCAACTGGAGCCCCAGTTTGGCCTGAATATAGAGGATCTGGCCAGCCACTCATTCAATGGGTGGTCTTGCTGGTGCTGAGTAAGAAAAGAGGGATGTTTTCTGACCTATGAAAATGTCTGTTTCTTCTTTGTAGGTGTCCTCCTCTAGCAATAGGACAGGAGATTCAGTGATCTGAGGACAGAAAAGGGAATCCATAGCCAAACAATTATTATATGGTAGTATATTATAATAACTATATAATCAACTGGATGAGAAGCACACAAATGTGTTAACGTCTCCTTTTTTCGTTTCATCGAGACTCTCTGCTGCTAAATACGTCGGTCATCAAATACTGCACAAAAAAATAAATCAAACATTTGCAGCACAGACAAAATTGTGACTGGGATGTTTCGGCAATGGGCCATACAGCTAATTCGAAACGCACTCTATTCTATTAACTGTGCCACCCACACAGCAGCATTACAACATTAAGTTACATTTACCATTCATACCATGCTCAATTGGTTGCTTTTACCGAATGGATAGGGCGCTGATTCTGATTTTGATTCTGAGTTGAGTTGAGGCTCACTCTGTCTGCCTGACTGGCTCTGTTCTGCAGGGGATCATTGGGTCATCAATACTGCAGTGGAGTGCTCAAATACGTCTCTCTCACCCATCTGCTCCTGTCTTTTGCCCATGGTTGCTGAGTGAGAGACAGAACCACACAGAGGAAGGGAGAGTGTGTAGATTTTTTTTTTTTTTTTAAGTGCGAGAAATGGCGAGCGGGAAAGAAAGTGAGGAGTGAGGCGGAGGAGGGAGGAGCAGAAAGGGAAAGCGAGATTAGTGCATGATGTCACAACATGCATCATCAGACCAGACTATAATCAGTATTTTGGTGAGGGCTCCGCCATCTCGCATCGAACGCTTGTATTTTAGAGGATGACTTGCAGTACACATTTTTTCAACTACTTTACAACTAGTAATTAATTTCCACGTTCCAGCAGATAGAAAGTGCAAACCAGTGGCCCTTCAGCTGCTCTGTAGGAGTTTTAATATGCTCCATCGCAAACACTGATAATCATCACTACACGACGAAGACCATGCTCACAGGATCCTGTATTCAGTGAGTTGTGCTGCTTTTATTTCAATTTCACCATTAGTGTTTGAGTAGATATTGTAAAAAAAAAAAAAATTGCAATATGCAGTTGAGTAGTGGTGAAAGGCACACATACTCACACAGCGTGCCACATTTCGCCCAAACCGCTGAAATACATTACAAAGCAAAAGATTTGGAGGGTGCAACATGAATGTGTGAGTACTCGCAGCCACCAGGGGGAAGCAGAGAGGTGATGAATAGAGGTGTTGAGAGGATGGAGAGATGAAGGTGACAGAAAGGCAGGAACTATAGAGGGATTATGGAAACCCAGACCAGGGGGGAAATGGAAGTACAAACCGCCAGAACACAAAAAAAAGTCTTACAAAATCTGCTTACGGACTCACACATGACTGCATGCGCGCGCGCGCCCGCACATTCAAGCAAGTGTGCTTGCACGCGCGTACACGCACGGCTGCCCCACAACCCTGAACCACACTCTGCACACACACAACAACCGTGATCACTCTACATCCCTCTTCAACATATGGTCCCGATTAGAAGGGAGAGAGACAGGGAGGAAGGGAGAGCGAGGGAGGGAGGGGGGGGGGGGCAGAAAGAGAGGGAGGGATGCGGGGGGACTAGGGGTGAGGGGGGGGGGGGGGGGCGGGGGAAAAAATGGAAATTTGGGGGAAAAAAAAAAAAAAAAGGGGGGAAAAAACAAAAAAACAAAAAGGGAAAAGAACCCCCGGAAAAAAAAAAAAGAGGGGGAGCTGGGCAAACAAATTTGAAAAAAAAAAAAAGGGGGGGGAAAATTTTAAGGGAAAAAAAAAGTTAAGGGGGGAAAGGGGGGGGGGGAAAATTTTGGTTGGGGGGAATTTTGGGGGGCCCCCATGGGGGAAAACAACCCCAACCTTTTTTTGTCCAAAGGAAAGACACCAGGTGGACCAACACCCCTGGGGGGGGAAACACAAATTTCCAAAACACCCGCAGGAGGTAAGCACCGGATTTTTTTTATACCCCTTCCCCCCCTCCTCTCGGGGCGCCGGGGGAACCCCCCGCGCGCTCCGTTTTTTTTTTTTACCTCTCTCGCCCCGGCCAAAAAAACAGCGTTCTCTTATATAAGGGGCCCCTCTTCCCCCACCCTAGGGAGAGAGGAGAGAAGACGCCCGCGCTTTAATATAAAAATTTGTGGAAACCGTGTTTGCAAAAACATGAGCGCCCCCGTCTCTCACAGAAACACAAGAGACCCATAGAATTTTTTCTCCCCACATTTC